TACTTATTAATCGAGTCACTACACGATCAATGTAAATTAAAACATTTTTTATTTTTATTATTGTAAAAAATAATAATGATAATAAATGTATTTACATTGTGGTATTCTTATAAAGTGCACCAACCATTGCCTTTCCTTATTCTGATCTTTACTTTCAGGTATTCTTAAGGTGCTGTTCCTAGAAAAATAGTCTCTATGGATAAATGCTGGTAAACGGGGAAAAAAGCAAATTATATAAAAAAAAAACGTCGAATTAATATGATCTACTTATTCATGAAACAGTTTTTCCCGATTTTCATCATTACTTTCATAATGTACCAGCCCTTTACAGATGCATTTTGGCAAAAGCTCTCGCTTCGGTGCATCTGACAATCTACTTTTTATACCAGGTATTTGCAAACTCGAGAAAGATCAAGCGAAAGAAAGCAAAATAATTGCATACTTTAGAAGCCATATTACTTTACACGGAACAGCTTATTTTTTATATTTTTTATATTTTCTGATTCGTAAAAACTTCAGCTACAGGTTCGTCTTAAGAAGCATAGTGTGTTTAAACTAAGTCGTCAGGTGAAATTTTCAAAAATGTAAATTCGTCGATTTGTGTAATTTATGTAAATCATATGATAAAATTTTGGATGTGACAAATCGTGTGACTGATAATACGGTATAGGTATAGCTCGCATCGCTGCATATAGTAGTCACTAATCTAAAATAAGTGCCGTCATGTTAATAAATCTATTGGAAAGCACAAATATGATCATACTTATTACTTCTGAATATAAATATCACATGTTCATATCGACGACGGCTTGCATTATGAAGGCCGGAGAAACCGGCCAGCGTTAAACCGCGCGAACTCAATTACTTATTGTGATCCCCGGTGCAATATTAGTTGCTATTTCCGGAGCATATACTGTCCCATTTTTAATGATTCATATAAATCACAACTATTGCTAACTGTATTAATCAAATAAAATTGACCTTCGGTAAGTTTAGATTATTAAAATTGTACAAAATTCTATTAGGGAATGTTTACAAAAAAAGAATCAAATTTAAAAAACTTAAATACGGTTCAGTTTATTATGTGGTTCAGTATTTTAGCTATTAAAATTATTAATTTATTACATTAAGTGTATTTATTAAGCATCTAAGACTTAATAATGTTTACAATTATATTAAAAAATGATGTTAACTCTTCATCTAAAAAATTACAAAAAATAATAATCAATATTAAAAGAATATTAATGTCATAAATAAATTAGGTAGTGTTGTAGACGAAATTATTTTTGAAAATCCGAAATATTCTACTTAGAAATTTCCAATAAATCGAATTAAATTTCGTTAAATTTACGACTAAATTATAAATTAGTCACGCCTACAACACTAAAATTAATTTTCATAATATTGTACCTACCCTATATATATCGATTAACAATTAACAACAATACTTTCATATGGCACCAATTTAACATATCCATCTAAATCTTTTTGAACTTTATTCCTAATTGCATCGGACAAGTTCATTTTCTTGATATACATATGCGGTGTTCCATTTTTAGATACGTAAATATCATTCAAAGTACTTTTTCTTTTACAAAAATCAATCAATGCTTCTATTGTTTTGTTATAATCACAATCATTGTCATAGTCAATACTAAATAACAATTGTTTTAAAGGCGCATTACAATAATTCAACAAAATATTGATGTGTGAATTTAACCAAATGTCTCCTAAATTAAGATATTGTAATGTTAATGGTAGTTTTTCTGCAAATTGCATAACTCGTCCTTTCGTTACTTCATCTGAGCCATCGTTTGTCCATAATAAAGTAAGATATTGAAGTTTTTGTAAACTTTCAACAAGTTTCAAGAGTTGTGGAGAAAGCTTGATATGTGAAATGTAGAGATAAATAATGTTTGGACAGAATGTTGTAAGTGTTTCTAGTAACTTTGATTGTGATGAAATTTCTTCATCATCTGAAATAAGTTTTAATCGTTGTAATAATAAGCCAGACTTTTCCAAAATTTGCGTTATATTCGATGCATCAAGCGAGTAGGAGGTTATTTCTAAAGTACTGATTTTATATTGACTAGCATCTAATACTTTCAATAATTTCTTATCATCATCGCAATCTAAAATACGAATAACTTTTAATTTCTCACAATTCATCAACGTCCCAAATTCTTCACTATAAGCACAATAATCTATTTTGATTTCTTGTAATGATTTTTTTTGATGTTCCAAAGCTGATATAATACCGTAAAATTCTGTAGGTAATCCTTCTCCACCTATCAAGTTGAATCGTTTAAGTTGATCTTGTGATTTCACGATACATATTAATGTATGATATAATTTTGACTCATAATCTGATTCAAATGCATCGAATGTTAAGGTATTAATCTTTTTAGTATTCTTTGCTAAAATTCCTAATAATGTAGTAGCATCTTCTATACAAAAATCTGATATAGCACCCACAGATAAATCTTGAAGTCGTGAGAAAAAAAGTTCATTTCGTCCTAAGGAATAAAATATTTCTGGCTTGATTTCTATAACATCGTAGGGAATATATAAATCTAATTTGAATAAAGTGGCGCCACTTTCGATAAATAATTTAAACAATAAATTTGCTACATGATATGTTAACGTATTGATGTGTTTTTGTGGATTAAAAAGTTGTAATCCGATCCATTGTTTAACCTTTTTTTCTAAACGTGATAGATTGAGTACCTTTAAAAATTTTGCATAATGAAATAATGTATTAGAAAAATCTATACTTATTCCACAATCTTTTAAAATAAATTTATCATCCTCATTGAGATCTGAAAAATATCTAGATATAAACATCGGTTTTTGATCGAATGAAAACGGATCTCGCCAAAGAATAGGAATTGTCATTTTACACCAATGACGGCTCACAAGAGCGCATGCGTATAATGAATAAAATTCTTCATTTAAATTGCTAAGAATATTTTCCATCAATTCGGGCATATCGCCCAAAAATATTTTAGATGCCATGAGAAAGATGAGTGACTTTTCCGTGTGAGAATTTATATACTTTATATATACAACGGTTCGCATTGTGGTACGCACTGTGATACGTGATACATATGAAATCCGAAAGGAGAAAAAAGTAATGTTTACTGGATATTCCAGAATTCTAAGGATTTGTTATACATTTTTGATGCCTGTGTCCATGATAGTGCAGTGCATGATCCCTCTGATGCATCGTATGTACTACATAAGCCCTGTGAAAATGTAAGTGTAAAGTTCCTGATAGGCATAACATCCTTGCTTCGTCATATGCATTTAATAAGATTTAAGATTTTTGTGAATGTGACTTAAATCTTATCAATATGAATGGAAAATTCAAGCTTTTAACATATCAGGTAAGAATATTATATAAGCAGCGTGTGTGATTCTCTATAACATTCTATTATGCTATTAAAGAATCATACGTATTTTTTTTTCTATTTCAAATAATCATTGAAATCCGATATTACCAATTCATAAAGATTTACTATCTATTAAAAAAAGTTAAATAAGCTATAATATAAAACAATCTAATTTATTTTTAAAAAATAAATACTACCTTGCATTTATAATTATTATTAAATGAAATAAACTACTTTTACAACGTGATTCAATATATATTACGTCATCATTTGGGTAGAAGGAACCCTGTGATATTTCCGTGGTCGTTACATCACATGATTAAGTGTTCGGCCTAAGTTTAGGGTTAGGTGATAGGGAAAAAGGATTCGCAACTGTATATCGTGCAACTTGGTTTTGATAGAATTAATAGTTCGTGGCTGAGTGTTGCACTTAAAGTAATTCATGATTCAAGCTAAAATATGCAATAATTTATCCAGGAATTAAAAAATACTGTGAAATTGGTTACGAAAATCCTTCGTCATGGAGTGTCAAGAAATAATTATGGTGATTATATCATTTTCATGAAGATTGCACCGAAAGGTTCGTTACGACAAAATCTTATAGAAGTTTCACAATTAGAATGGAAAGATAAATTGAATATTTTGTACTATATAGCTTTGGATCTTGAGTCGGTTCATTCACAGGGGCTCGTTCACAGAGATTTACACAGCGGAAACATTTTGCAAGGAGATAGCTTGCATCATGCACATATTACTGATCTTGGGCTTTCTAAAAAGGTAAAGTTTGTGGAATCCTGCCGTACATAGCACCCGAGATTTTAGAGGGACAACCATATACACAAGCATCAGATATTTACAGCTTTGGAGTTATCACGACAGAGATTTCAAGTGGACAAAGAGCATTTGACGGAGTTCCGTTTAATGGTGATCTTGTGTCAAAAATTATCGATGGAACAAGACCTGAATGTTTTGACCAGATTGTTATATTAAATTAGCTATGAAATGTATGGATAAAGGCTTTGATAAACGACCTACTGCAACGGAAATTATTGAAATAATCGCTTGTTGGTTAGATGAAATGGATCAGGAAAGTGATTATGAAATCAAAAACAATTTTTGGAAGCAAATAATATTAAGTAAGGACCAATTAAACAAATACATTAACAAGACATATATACTACACACAAAAATTTTCGGAATTTATTAGTAGTTGATTAGTAATGTAGAAATCTTAATTTATATTTTTATTTAATTATATAAAATATGCATTTATGTAACATGCACTTAGGAAGGTGAAAGAATATTACGTTTTTTATTAAAATTATATTACAGAGATAAATATTGCTTTCAGATTATTATTCTTACGCATCTATATTATTATGTGTCTGGAATAAAACAAATCTGATTTGTTAGTTGAGGTTCATCGTGATTTGTGTTATTTTTACTATATTTAGTAATTAACATAGCAGCTCAAGATTAATTAAAAACATGTGACAACTAATAATTAATTGAAACCAATAATTTTCGGGGTTCGATCCCGTAAAATACCACTATAACCCATATTATTGTCCCAACTGATAAAATCATTATATATTTTTTTATTTTTTCTAACAATGAGTAACGATGAAAATTTGTTGCTTTCATTTTTCAATTTTTTAACATACACAATATTATATAAGTGATCCTTTAATTAATAAGGAATTTAATGATCTGTCTGTCACTTTTAACAGATTTTATTGGCAAATTTAAATTCTGTAATCTATTTATCTGTTGAACTTTTTTAAAAATTTCGATTTCGTTCTCTTATTTTAACTCCAAAAAGAGAACGGCCAATGTATCGAAATATTTATGTTTAGAAATTATCGTTATGACATATATGTTATATATAGTTTTTTAAAATGGCTAATTTAAACTCTTTACCATACTATATTGGACATTCATATTATTATTATAATGATCTTTTGTAATCCCAATTTTGCGCGACAAATCTATCCCGATTTACGACTTATTGAGCTATCTTATGCTCGGACATTGAGATGTACTAATTTATTATTTAAAAAATAATTGTATTAACAAATTTTTTATCTAATTAAAATTATTTAAATAAATGATTATAATTTGCTAACATATATTAATACTATATATTTGAACACTGTACAACTAATTTTTATTACAGTAATAAGTTATAAGACTTTTTTTATATTATTGTTATAATTGGTATCTTTTTTTAAATATGGTATATCGAGTCTCTAAATAAAATATATCAAATCTTTAAAATACTATATTTAGTTTCTAGACATATCATAAATTAGGCCCAGAAACATACCACGAAATCTAAATTAGATTACACAATTTTTTTGTTTGTATAATTGCCAACTCAGCTTTCAGGAATTCGAATTTTTTTAATAACAGCTTTTTAAAGCAGCAAGAATAAAACCAAGCAATTTTCTTTTGATATTATCTCTTCTGACCCAAATTTTCACAAATTGTTTATAATAATATTTGTTTAATAATTTTATGATCTAATTCAAAACTTGATCTTTTTTTTCTTATTCAAGGCGAGAATCTGGTTTCTGTCACTTTATTAATTGTTAGAGTTGTTAGATACAGAAGTATATTTTACTGAATATGAACCCCTCTTAATTTAGTGTAACTAGAGACTAGGGCTATGTTCTAACTATTTATATACTAAAAGTATTTTGAATATCTATAGTCTAATTCAAAAATTAATATTTATTTATCAAAATATAAAGACATAGAATAATCTACAACTATAAACAAATATCCAACTTATTATAAAAAAATCCTCTATAAATAATAATATAATTAATATTAATATTTAATATAATTAAAGCATGACTCAAATATTCAATTTTGTACTAACTTTAAGTCTTGTACACGTTACATTAATCATAGGATCGAATGAAGTGTTACTAATCTTCAAATCAAACAATAATTATTCCTCTATTTAATAAGTACGTACCTCATAGTGTAACGTTTGAATGACTGTATATATCGATATGGACTAGTTTAATATAATTTGTGTCAACTAGGGAATTGTAATGTTTCAATTTTATAAATTAAGAATCGTATGATGAAAATTAATACATATTACATACGTACTCTAGGATAGTCAGATCAAGAATTGATATTTCCTGTTGTAATAAAAAATCTTTTGCATAAATTTTTCAAATTTTACTGAATAGTTCAATAAAATAATTTTAATTTTCTACAAAACAATAAAGCCGCTCTTTAAAATATAATAGCTACATTGAACTGAAAAAAAGCAGCATACTTAAAAAAAATGTATAATCATGAGACACTCATTCATTCTCAAAAATCAACTGAGATAGTGAATAACGATGAAATAGAAGTTGTGAAAGACGAACAAAAGGCATTTATTCGTTATCAAAAATCCGCTGAAATGGGAGATGTAGATGGAATGTTTAATGTTGGCTATTGTTATCAAAATGGAATTGGAATTGAAAAGGATGAAAATAAGGCATTTATTTATTATAAAAAGTCTGCTGATATGGGAAATGCTAAAGCAATAAATTACTTGGGTATCTGTTATGAAGGTGGAATTGGAATTGGAATGGATAATCAGAAAGCGTTTATTTATTTTCAAAAATCTGCTGAAATGGGTAATGCTAATGGAACGTTTAAGGTTGGTAATTGCTATAAAAATGGAATTGGAGTTGAAAAAGATGAACATAAGGCATTTATTCATTATCAAAAATCCGCCGAAATGGGTGACTCAGATGGAATGACTGCACTTGGCAACTCTTATCAAAATGGAATCGGGATTGAAAAAGATGAACACATGGCATTCATTCATTATCAAAAATCTGCCGAAATGGGAGATGATTATGGAATATTTGCACTTGGCAACTGTTATTGTCATGGAATTGGCGTTGAAAAATATGATCAAAAAGCATTTATTTATTATCAAAAATCCGCTGAGATGGGGAATGTTATGGCAATAAATCATCTGGGTTTCTGTTACGAACGTGGAATAGGGGTTGGTAAAGATGCACATAAAGCATTCACCTATTATCAAAAATCTGCAGATATGGAAGATACCAAGGGGATATTTGATGTCGGCTATTGCTATGAAAAAGGCATTGGAATTGAAAAGGATGAACATAAGGCATTTATTTATTATCAAAAATCAGCTGATATGGGAAATTCCAAAGCAATAAATTGTCTGGGCATATGTTATGAGTGCGGAATTGGGGTTGAGAAAGATGAATACAAAGCATTCACTTATTATCAAAAATCAGCAGAGATGAAAAATGCTAATGGAATATTTAATGTTGGCTATTGCTATGAAAATGGTATTGGAATTGAAAAGGATGAATATGAAGCAATAATTTATTATCAAAAATCTGCTGATATGGGAAGCGCTCATGCAATAAATCATCTTGGTACTTGCTATGCATATGGAATTGGAGTTGAAAAAGATGATAATAAAGCGTTCACTTATTATCAAAGATCTGCTGATATGGGAAGTGTTCATGCAATAAATCATCTTGGTACTTGCTATGCATATGGAATTGGAGTTGAAAAAGATGATAATAAAGCGTTCACTTATTATCAAAGATCTGCTGATATGGGAAGTGTTCATGCAATAAATCATCTTGCTACTTGCTATGCATATGGAATTGGAGTTGAAAAAGATGATAATAAAGCGTTCATTTATTATCAAAAATCTGCTGAAATGGGAAATATAAATGGAATTTTCAGCGTTGGTCATTTTTATGAAGATGGGATTGGAGTTGAAAAAGACGAACACAAAGCATTCGTACACTATAAAAATTCAGCTGATATGGGGCATGAAACGGAGCATTTAAAGTTGGCAACTGTTATCGATTCGAAATTGGAATCGAAGAGGATACGTATAAGGCATTTACTTATTATCAAAAATCTGCTGAAATGGAGCATGTTGATGGGACATATAGTCTTGGTGTGTGTTACCAAAATGGAATTGGAGTTGAAAAAGACGAGTTTATAGCATTTACTTATTTCAAAAAATCGGCGGACATGAAGCATGTTACAGGAATATTTCAAGTTGCAGAGTGTTATGAAAATGGAATCGGTGTTGAAAAAGATGAAAATCAAGCATCAATTTATTATCAAAAATTAGTTGATATGGGAGCGACAGAAGGTCTAAGTGCATTTATAAAAAGAGCAATAGCTGATCGCGTTAACGAGAGTTTTCAAGATGATGAAAAAACTGAAATAAATGATCCTTCTGAATATTCATTGAAAGGTACAGATATGGAATTAGAAATTGGTGGTCAGCAATTGGAATTATTAAAAAAAATTTGTCCAACGTTATATGGAATGTGTGAAGAATGCCATCATCCGAATACAGATGAGTCATGGTGCAAATGTTGTAACGCTAAGCATTTTCAGCAAGAGTTTTCAAAATGGACTAGTGGAAGCAAGGCTATTAATGAATTTATCCAAAAAGTGCAACTTAATCATAGAGATCAAAGAGACAAATTTGAATGGATTCCTTTTGATAAACTAAAAAACATTGAATTTATAGCCAACGGTGGGTTTGCTACTGTTTTTAAAGCTATTTGGACTGATGGCCCCATAGTTAAATGGGATGTTAAAAATTGGAAAAGAGTTAGTGAACAACCAGTAATTTTTAAAAAATTGAATAATTCAGGAAACATGTCACAAAAATTTTTAAATGAGGTAAATTTTTACTCGAATGTATTGAAATAATTTTTAATTAACTAATTCTAATTTAAACTCATGTAGATTGAATTACAGTCTATATCGAATCTTCAAGGCGATGTTGCTCAAATTTATGGAATTACAAAAGATCCAAAAGATAACATTTATGTAATGGTTATAGAATATGCACAGTATGGAAGTCTTAGAACATATTTAGATGAAAATTTTAATAATTTAAAATGGACAGATAAAGTAGAAATTTTGTACTATATAGCTAGAGGTCTTAAAAACATTCATGAAAGAAATTTAATTCATCAAGATCTTCACGGAGGAAATATTGTAATGGGGTCTGAAAAATCGTCTAAGATTACAGATTTTGGACTTTGCAAACCTGTAGATTTTTATGAAATGCCTAAATATGGTCAAAAAATTTATGGTGTGATGCCATATATAGCACCAGAAGTTTTATGTGGTGATAGTTATACGAAGGCATCAGACATTTATTCTTTTGGAATAATTATGTTCGAAGTGCTTTTCGGTTATCCGGCTTACTACAATATCCCACACACTAATGATCTAGTTCGCAAGATAGTTTTAGGCCACCGTCCAGAACATAGAACTCCTGCACCAAAATGCTTAATAGATTTGATGAAAAAATGTTGGGATGCTGAACCTCAGAACAGACCCACGGCTAATGAAATTGATGATAAATTTAGGAAATGGTATAGTGAACATACTGCACCAACCTCAGAAATATCAATGAATATTAAAGAAATCGTCAATGGATCAGAAAATTCTTTTGCTTCAAATGCTTCAGAACTCAATAGATTAAATTACGAAACTCATCCACAAGCATTTTATATAAGTCGGCCAATTGATACGCAAGAGATTGTAGAAGCTCTAAATTTAAATGGTAAGTATTTCTTATAGATTATATAATGACGTCAAGTGAAAATCAGTCGTTAAGATTTAAATTTCAGAATTTATAATTTACCGAACTCAATCCTTGAAAATCTGAATAATTGAGTTTGATAAGTTGAAGTTCTAAAAGTCTATTTTCCTTGGCGGCACTCATGCAATGTGCATTATGTATGTGTATTGAGTTTTTATTTAGTATAACTCAGCGAACATAATCTTAGTATAGGTGACAGGCTCCTAATGACTATCATGTGAACTCATGAAAATATTAATCATTGGCGGAGTTAATCATCTTTACTAAGGCGATCACAGGCAGCTTTTCATGTCACAAAAAATTGCCGATCCCATGATCAATAAGTAATCGGACAGATAAGCTGAAACAAAAAAAAACATAATAAAAAATCAGTTGTCTATCAGATGTTGGGTTGTAAAATATATAAATAGACATAGTTCTTGACTTTATTACTTTCATAATATTCTGAATAAATTTAGTAGTTCGAGTGGCTTGAAATCACGGAACCAACAAATTTTTGTGACATGACAAAGCTACCCAGTGATAATCTGAACCTGACCGAAACTTCGTGTTAAGTTGGCATTGTCCATCAGGTTAAGTTCAAGTTGAGTTGGCACTGTCAGTTGTAGCACTTAGAGATACGAATTAATTGAAAAGTTGGTCAAATTTGAAAACTAATCGATTTAAAGTTTTCGAAGCAATTAATCTCGAAATGATTAGTAATTAACCAATTAAATTAATTAGCTGTGATACAAATCAATCATGTGTTCATTTATTTAACAAATTAAATTGGTTAAAATATAATATAATCACAACAGGTATAACTAGCAGAAGTTTTCCTAGTTACTATACTTCTTATCTGTACAATGTGTTCCGAGTATAGTATAGTTTTCAATCTTTGAAATATAACATACTAGGTCGTTTACAATATAATTTACAAATGTTGACCAACTAATCATTTAGAAATTTTTATCGATTCGGATCACTATGTAGCACTACAAAAGGTAACAATACACATAAATTCCAATAGAAAGATATACTATATATATATATAATTAATAATGCTTCATATTTCGTACTTCAATCAATAATTAGGCTTTTCAGGTAAATTTAATATTTTATAATTTTATAAGACTTTAAATATTTGTTTAATTTTTATTTGGTTTTCAGATAAATATTACGTTATTGAACAACTCAAAAGTTCCCAATTAATTGATGGTTAATGATCATGCCCAGTAGTTATATTATATAAGTTAAGATTAAAGGAAATATCATTTATTACCTGATTTTTTTAGCAGGGAAGTGGGTGCCAATATATCATGCTAATAGATCACACGTATATGTTTATAATCGTAATCATTTGTGGGAGGGGATTTTATTGGTTACAAAAATCATCTGCCAAATGACGCTTCCCTAATTATTAATTTGACACCTAATTTACTAAATTATCTGTACTATATACCAATAATATGGATACATGATATAGTATTTTAAACAAAATATATATACAGATTGATATTATATTTTGTTAGTGCGTTAATGAAGAATTCGATGTTGTCTTGCTAATCTTATTCTAAAAAGAATTTCGTGCTAAAATTTTTACCTAAATTTGGGTTATATTGATTTGAACAACATTATATTCTTTAAAAAGTTACGTAACTAAATTTAAACTAAAATTGTACAGATAATTAATTGTAATTTTATTATTTATACATATACTTATTTATTAACTAAAAAACTCTAATAAACATTAAGTGGCAAGGAATACTAAGCAAAAAAATTCGTATTAATTTTACGGTATATAAAAGTGAGGTTTTAAATTCTAAACGAACTTTTTACAAATATTTTACAAGGTTACTAATAAGAAATTTTAGAATATAAAAGCGTGTAATATATTAATTAGAGTCACTTAGTAATAAATTTGAGAAAATACTACCTGTATTTATTAAATTATCCGATTTATCCGGGTAAATTATTATGCATTTCGGGTAATCATATAGCAACAATTTCTAGTTGAAAACTTTTATAATTATTACTGTTGACATTCTATAATAGCCCTCTTTTTTTTTAGCGAAATCTAAATAACTTTTAAGCTTATTAGTGTATTAATTTTATATAGTGGAACTCCCTTATCAATTATTAAGAAAGTACCACGTTATAGTGTAAATAGTTTTCAACATGTCAGCGTATCTGACCAATCATAAATTTTCATGTGATTAACCAATCACGAGAAAATTATCCAATAGATTTCATTGGTGAAATTCAGTGTTACGAACGATTGCATTTTTTTTCTTTATTTGTGATACATAAATAAGAGTTTTAGACTGTATTTGGATAAATTAAAAAAATCATATGATTGTTACATAAGTATAAGCCTACACGGGGAATACTTTGTACTGAAATTCCTTGCAAAATGATAACACTGCCAAACAAATGCCTTTTCGAAATATTTATTAACCTTAAGTATAATTATAAAAGCCTATATTCATGTCTTCTTGTAAATCGTCATTGGTGTAGAAATATTGTACCAATACTATGGAGTGGACCTCTCCCTTTTAATAATGGAAAATTAATGAAAACATGCCTTTTAGCTATAAATGCTAAAGAACAAGAACAATTAATTCTATTTGGAATAATACTTAAAGATGATTCAAAACCATTATTTAAGTACACAACTTATATTACAGCTATTACATTTTATTTAAACGATGCAGTTGATGGAATTGCAGATTTGCTTAGTCATGAAGAAAACTCATCTAGTAATTTATTTTATTCTAAAAACGATTCAAGATTTACCAGCATGGTTCAAAAAATTAGTTCTTTTTTGATTGCATTATTTTTACGATCAAGTAATCAACTTAAACGCCTAAATATTGACGGAATTGTAATTTATAATGATTTATCAAAATTATTAGCCAATACTCTTTCTAAAAGTATAACTATAACTACTCTAATTCTTTGGAATAATAAACTCGGCTCTAAGGGATGTAAAGCATTAGCAGGTGCTCTTTGTAAGAACACTACTCTGGCACATTTGTGTATTGGTAATAATCAACTTGGTAATGAAGGTGGGAAAGTATTAGCAAAAGCTATTTGCAAAAACACTACTTTAACCTTCTTAGAAATTAATAATAATCGTATTGGTTCTGAAGGCGGAAAAGCATTCGCAAAGGCTCTTTACAACAATACCACATTAACTTCTTTAGAGCTTGGTGACAATAAGATTACTTTCGAAGGGGCAAAAGAGTTAGCAGAGGCGCTTTGTAAAAACACTACTCTGACTTTTTTGAATCTTAGAGACAATAATCTCAGTCCAGAGATAGGACACTTGTTAGCCGATTCTCTTTATAAGAATAATTCTTTAACTACCTTGGAACTTTGGTGTAATTATCTCGGACCTGAAGGAGGAAAGGCGATAGCTAAAGCTCTTTACGTAAATACTAGTTTAACCCATTTAAAAATTAGTGATAATCAGCTTAGTTCTGAAGGAGGAAAGGCATTGGCAAAAGTTCTTTATGAAAATAAAACTTTAACATTATTAAACATTTGGCTTAACGACTTTGATTCTGAAACAATAAAAGAATTCGCAAGAGTTCTTTACAAAAATACTACACTGACCTCTTTAGATATTGGTAATAATCGAATTTGTTCTGATGAAGCAAAAGAATTTGCAAATACTCTATGTAAAAATACCACACTAATTTCCTTAGATCTTGGTTATAATTATATGGGTATTGAAGGAATACAAACATTAGCAAATGCTCTTTGTAAGAACATTGCTCTAACCGAATTGAGCCCCGAAAACTGTCATCTTGGTTCTAAAGAAGGAAAAGTATTATTAGAAGCTCTCCATAAAAATACAACACTAACTACTTTGAATCTTAATAATAATTATAAATTTGATAGCGCTATTTTAAGTAAAATCAATGAATTGCTTACGAAGAACGCATATAGATAAAACTTTTACTATCATGAAATTTTACGATGGTCGACGGATTGTTATAAGATATAATTTGAATATAATTTCCAACTAGAAAGTAATATTGTAAGAAAATTATTAAAAGTAGATTATTGATAATGTTATGGGTAATATCAAAAAGCTAAATCTTTTTAAACGTTTCAAATTAGATTATTATAAATGAATAACTTGAATGAGAACAGACATTTGTAAACTTGAATTATTATACTTAAAATCGATAATTGGTATCTGTAATTATTATTTAATAAAAACCTCAAAAAACAATTTATTTATAAATCTATATTAAAATGAATTCATACCCTCTGATAAATTGGTAACCTTGTGCGAAGATATCTTGACCACTCGATCAATATTTTTTATTTTGTTTCCCTGCATATAAAGGATTTGAATAAAAAAATTCTCCATCAAATGTATCATGTGGTTATCGAGATATCTTCGCTCAACGTTTTAAAAAAAATCCAAATCACTTATTAAAACAACTATAAAATTTTTTTAAAAAAATTTGAGTAAAAATATGCCGACATTAACCTAGCCAAATTTAATAAAAATGTTTTTTATTCGAATACTATATACTGTATTTGAGAAATCAAAATAAAATTTTATTGAGTTTGATAAGCAGCTGTTTGGATATTTTCACTCAAAGTTTGAAAAGTTCAAAATGTCTGTAACTGCACCAATTTTTTTAAAACTTTGAAGATATCTCAATCGTCTTATCAAATTAATCTCTAGACTCATATTATTTGATAAATAATTTCATCGAATTTTAAGTGGTTTTTGAGATATATTTGTTCAAAGCTTTAAAAAAAATTTGTCGCAACATCTTTATTTTGATAAGCGTTTTGATCTTTTCAAACTATGAGCGAAGATATTTCAACTTTGTAATTCAATTCGATGAATTTTTTTTATTTAGATTCTCTGAATATAGTGGATTAGAATAAAAAAAAACTTTTAACTTTAGCCAAGTTAATGTTGAAATATTATCACAAATTTTTAAAAAAATTTTATGGTTATTTTAATAGGTGGTTTGAAATTTTTGAAACTTTGAGCGACTATATCTTGACAACTACTCGATCAAATTTGATGAAAATTTTTTGTTATCTCTTTTATACTCAGAGAATTAAAAAAAAATTTTATTGAATTTGTCGAGTGTTGTTTAAGATATCGCTAAAGTTTATGTTTTGACAGGGGTATGAATAATAATAAATGTGAGTATCGGAGACGTATGTAACGCTCCCACAAAATTGACCTCTGTAATTTTTACTGAGAATAAAACGCTGGTAGTTTGGGGTATGGTTAGGACGATAGAGTTTCTACTAGAAAAATTTCACGAGGAGCATTTTTAATTAGGCCGCATAAGGTGGCTTCGCTTCGATTGCTCGTTACAACTGATCTTGAAATTTGATTTGTCAAAAATCACGGGAAGGACCAATTTTTGTAGGTGTGCTAGTGAGATTGGTATAGGGATAGGTTCGGCTACAAACGACTACGATCGCCTATAAGTAGATTGCTAAATTGAAATGATTTTTTTTATAAGTCATTAATTAAAGTTATTCAGAAGTAAATTTTAATCATTTATAAGATAAATTCAAAACACCTCGAAAATTCAAAATCTTAAAAATTCAGTCGTTCCATAACCGATGATGAATTTTAAGATTTTGAATATTAGAGAAGGTATTTTGAATTTATCTTATAAGTAACTATGGAGTACCTCTGAACAACTTTAATTAATGACTTATAAAAAAAAAAATCATATCAAAATTTATCAATTTGTTTATAGTGATCGTAGCCGAACCCATCCCTAGTGGGGGTATAAAAAATAGCCCAAATATTAAAGTAAAACTTAACGCAAAACTCGAGAAAATTTTTCTGTATTTTTCAATCTGAACATGTAATGTTAGCGTTAGCAAACGATCGTAGCATGGGCTCGTCCTCATTTATGTTCCGTCACGTGAGTATATCCACGTGAGCATAGAATTTGTTACTGAGCACAATATACAATAACAGAAGAGAAAAGTGAAGAAATGGAACATTATTCTAATCATTTATCTTCATAAAATCTAATAGAGTTCCGAGCAATAATAATACCGAAATATTATTACCTTGATAAGCACTAAAATAAAAAATACTTAGCATAAATGAGGGTTTTTTTTTACATACGTAAATAATGTAACAGGTGAGTTGTGTAATGTACGAATAATAAACGTGATTATAAATTTGTAAAAATTAATACTATCACAATCGAAAGAACTGGTATTAGAGATATTGGCTTATACTATAACTAGTTACTGATATGTATTCAAATTTTACATCAAAATTGTAATTTAAGTATATTTTCGACATAATTTTACTACTATTCAAAGAAGAGAAAGAAGCGTAGCCTTTAATCGAATTAGGTGGCAATTATATTATAGAGTAAATAAAATAAATTGTTAACTTTAATTTAGCTTGACAGTTTTACCTTTGGCCTTTATTTACCAGTTTTTACAATTTTATGTTTCAACAACGGTCGTCTTTTAAAATTTTCATTAACGAATGTCGAAACTAGATTTTACTTTCACCAACGTGAAACTCTAGGTTTCGCCTAACTATAGAATATTAATTCTGAAGAGAAACGGAAATCACATTAGCTATACAAACTAAATTTTTTGGTTTTTATGTAACACGACCAGGTCAAATATTTGACGATATTTACTGTCTTTTAGAAATTTATAAAAAAATTTTATCGGTTTTTTGAATTAAATTTCGCACACTTATTAGGAGTTTAATTACGCGAAACAATCTAACAATTTAAGGAAGATATAATACTCTCTATGTCTCTCATAATGTACCAATTTTGCTTTTCAATGTAGAATTTTAGCATTTAAAATTTCTGTATTTCAAAAAATAAAATAAAAATAAAAAAATATAGAATAATTGTCACTGTTCTAATTCCTAAGGCCATAATGCTTGCTTGATAAGCATATGGATTAAGCGATAACAGGTGGCTCTTGTTATGTTCAAATAATTAAGCTATCGCTTCATAGACATCTCGTCTTACTAATAATAGTTCATAGAACATTCATCTTCAGAATCAGTTCACTAATAATCACTTCATCAATAAATATTGATTATTAATAGTTGTGAAAAAACGAGTAACTAAAGGAATATTTCAGATAGTTTGATTGGACTCTCGTTTTATATGTGATACAACTAGTGTATTAATTCAAATTAATACTAATTAACTTACACAGTTTCACAAAGAGGGTTGTACATATGTTGTACGTAAATAAAACACTGCAATTTGAATAGTATCAATGAACTGTCCTTTCATTTAGCTAACCTTTAATACATCTAGCAAGTTACCAAATATTAAACTAATTTCATCCTAACAAATATGAATAAAGATCTTATGCTTCAGTTAGTAAATAATGAACGTCACAAAGTTGGTGTTAAGGAGCTAGAATGGGACCCGTAAGTTTTTCCTCAAACCATTTCATAAAACAAAAAAAAATAAAACCTAAGTCGCAAGTTTGAATTTATAGCAGTCTAGAATTTTATAATCTATTAAAGCACATAAATTTTCATTATTTTATAATATAAGCCGTTTGGCCAAAGCTGCACAGCTACAGTCGGAATTTATGGCATCATGCAATTCTTGTACGCACTCTAGTAAATCTGGTGGTCTTGGTACTAGGATTGAAGCTCAAGGATTTTCATGGTCTGGCTGTGCCGAGAATGTTGCTGAGGGATATAAAAATGAAGAGGCAGTTGTAAAAGGGTAGATAAAATAATTTATGATAGTTTTATTATGCTGTTTATACTCCAATTTTTAACATTCTTCTTTATATTACAGATGGATGAGTTCTCATGGTCACAAATCAAACCTGCTCAATCCAAAATATACTCATTTTGGAGCAGGGCATATAAATGGTTTTTGGGCTCAGGTTTTTGGAAGTGAATTATAGATATAGTACTATCTATTAGTGGTCATTCTTTTTAAAAAAATGCGCACTATTTGATGTTCTGGAAAAATCGGTATATGTTATTTACATTATTTATTTATTTATTTATTATTTTCTATAATCCTGTATTCGTAAACAGTATCTCAAATAAAAAAATTTCTTCGTTTATTTATTATTTTCTATATTCCTGTATTCGTAAACGGTATCTCAAATAAAAAAATTTCTTCGTTTACAAGTTTATTTTGATATTCTGCAATATTTTTTTACTAATCCCCTGCCTTACTATTTGTTATTCATGATCACCTTCATTATAATTTCCCGCATGCCCGGGAATCTTTCGTGGAAAGATTCCCGGTCACGTGAAAACTATAATGAAGGTGGTCACGAATAACGTAAGGCAGGGGATCATTCATTATTTCCTGTGAGGAGTTTAAAATTATTCCACGATGATCATATGAGTGCCGTCAAAGGAAAACCTACAATCTGGGTTTCAAGTATATTTTGTGCACAGTTGGTTATCTGTGTGCCGTCTATAGTAAAACTATCATCGGACATAGATTTACCATAGACGGCACACAGATAACCAACTGTACACAAAATATATTTGAAACCCAGATTGTAGGTTTTCCTTTGACGGCACTCATATAATGCAGATGGCCCTTCGGGCCATCTGTATCCTATGATCATCGGGAACCTCTGTTGTAATTTTTAAGCTCCCAAGAAATAAATAATACTTATTTTTGCAAAGCATGAATGTAAAATTGAAATTTTTATCATACAAAAATTTTTATATCTATATTTCGCTTTTCTACTAGCAAAAATCAAAAAAAATTACTAGTAATTGATAATTTTTTCTCAATTTTCTAAACCTAATTAATCTATTTAAATTTTAAAATTCTAATTTTTTCTATCTTTCTTTCTAATTACTTTTTATTTGAAACTTATTGTAAGTATATTATTTATATCTTATTTTCTTTATGAAAAATTAATTTACTTATTTAATTTTTTTAATTATAATTATAAAAAATTTAGCAAAATCTGTATTGGTAAATTTAAATTTTTAAACAATATAAAATCAATAAGATTAAATTGTTTTATGTTTAAATTTTATGTAAATTTTTAACTATTTTATATGTAGGCAAACTCCATATAAGTAATTAATATTTATAATAAATAAGATTTAAGAAATAACTAATTTGATCAAGAAAATTAATTTTCAATAATAAATTCTACACGATTTTTTCATTAATCACAAAAGTTAAAAAATTTACAGATTTGTAATCCTATTGAAAACTATGATTTACCTATCTTTAGATCTATCACAATAAAGCAACATTCTTAACTGCTTTAAAAATTGCATACAGGCCTAGTAATTTTCAAAAAATCATTATAATTGAGAATAATGCAGTGTAACATTTACAATTAATATATCTATAAATTTGATACCTTCTGCATAATAAATAGCTATACTACACGTGATATCCCTTTTGATATCAATATCATACAAAAGAATATTCAAACTTATACAAAGTAACATTCAATTTCATATAAAGTAATATTTAAATTCGTACAAAATGACATTCAAATTTGTACAAAATGACAATTAAAATAGGTTTGATTAAATTGTGATATCTCGTGATATAATCCAATTTAGGTGATTTTGATATTATTAAAATCGCCTCATCAAGAGGATTCGAATGATACTAAAATCACCCGAATCGGATCTCTAGATAACAAGATATTACAATTCAATCAAGCTTATTTTAATTGCCACTTTGCACAAATTTGAATATCATCTTGTGCGAGTTTAAATGTCACTTGTATGAAATTAAATATCCTTTTTACGAAATTGATGTCAAAGGGGATATTATATATCTTCGTTTGTTCAATGATCTTTATGTGTAACCGACCATTGGTCAAAGTGTATGAGAAATAGAAGTCATAGTTGCTAGATGAAGCCTCAAGGCTTTGCGTTGATGAAATGCGAAACTTAGTGTCGCATAGTTGCAGAACAGTCCTTGTACTTAGTTCGGGGCATGTTAGCCGAAGTAAGGGTTAGTGAAGCGAAGAGTAATTATGAAATGTCACAGGTTACACGTGATGAAATCGGGGTTAAATATGATAACATGTAGGGGCCAACAGGAGGGAACGTTGTTGTTACACAACTGATTTTACACACGGTGTGAAACACATAAAAAAATGATTTTACAAT